AAATCGAAGGCGACGAGAACAATTTTGAATACACTCTCAATCTGAATTTCAAGAGGTATTTGCTAGAGCTGATTCCCTCGAAAGATTTCTCTAGTTACTGTATTCAGCCGAATATGTCAGTATAGTGAATAAGCTCCAACCAAGATTGATAACAACTTTTATTTGGCTTACGTTTCGGCGCTTTCGCCTTCTTCAGAGCCTGGAAAGAGGAAAGCCATTTACGAAACTACCCGTCCAAATACTATTTCAACCTACAAGAATCGCTCAGCAGGGGTAAACTACTAGGGCGACGTCGTGGGACAGAAAAAGACAACTAACCTTTAGAAAAGTCGACCAATGAGGTCCACCTGCCACCCTGAGCTGACAGTAATGCGGCTTAAATAGGTTGAGCACCAAGGTCGCTTGCTTGAGGACCCTCTTGAGAGTTTATCATGGGGCTGATAGTAACCAGCAAACAACCGATCCTTAAGCAAGTGACCTTGAGGCTTTACCTATTTAAGCCGCATTACTGTCAGCTCAGGGTGGCAGGTGGACCTCATTGGTCGACTTTTCTAAAGGTTAGTTGTCTTTTTCTGTCCCACGACGTCGCCCTAGTAGTTTACCCCTGCTGAGCGATTCTTGTAGGTTGAAATAGTATTTGGACGGGTAGTTTCGTAAATGGCTTTCCTCTTTCCAGGCTCTGAAGAAGGCGAAAGCGCCGAAACGTAAGCCAAATAAAAGTTGTTATCAATCTTGGTTGGAGCTTATTCACTATACTGACATATTCTCTACGACTCATGCCAAGATTCATTGAGAGTCGCACATGGAAACTGTATTCAGCGTTCTGCGACTTTGTCAGCTGGCTTTCCCACATTTGGCGGAGACTAAAGGCGAAATCGTGAATGTGAGCAGTGTCGTAGGCCAGCCAAACGGCGCAGTGAGTGACGTCATCGTAAACTTAGGTTTCAAATGAATTCTGAAGTTCTTCAGCGAAACTATCCATTATTTGGTTTTCAGTCAACATCGTCCCCATACTACAGTATTGCCAAAGCGGCGCAGGACCAACTAACCAAAAATCTTGCCATTCACTATATCCAGAAAGGTGTTCATCCACGAATCCAAAAGGGTTCAGTAAATAGTGTAGTTAATTTCGTTCGAACACATCTAAAGAAGAGCAGACAAGGTCGAATGGTCGAGAACGGGAAACGTCCAGGAACAGGCGGGGTTGCCCCTAAAATGCTGACCGACAAATTCGCAACAAAGTTTAGCCTCCAGCTTAAATGTCTGTCCCGCGCCGCGTTAGCCGCTTCGGCACCCTCCACTCGTCGCCCGGCTTTAAGCCAGCCTAGGGTCAGACAGCATCGATGAGGCGGAAGGCAGTGAGACTCGTCTTACGCACAAATAAACAGGTAGAACAGGTCCCATTTCTCGGGTTAAAGGTTGTTCTTCTTGGTTTTTTCTTCATGCCTGCGTCACTGTCCACATCTACCTTGATTTCTGGCAGGCTGTCGTTTCATAGTAAACTCCTCCTATAAACATGCCATTGGGAGGCGGTCCAACGCCAAACTCGCAGTGAAGATATGCCCCGGCGATCTAGCATGGCTGTTACCGCGGCGCTATAGACAAGACACGCCCAACGAGTGGCTAGACGCCTTTAATAAAATATTTATTGCACCTCATGGGAATCTTCCTTCATGTCGAATTCATTGTATTTGACCTGTATTTCATGCGTGACTTTTTCTCTCAAGAAAATAATTGAGATTTCGCGGGTTTTTGGATGAATGCTGCTTCACTTTTATAATCCCCTATCATCTGTCATATCAGCTGATTCCAGTCACGACATTCGATAGCGCTCTGTTTTCCATCCAACTCACAGTAAATCATATACGAACAATCGTCAGAATCCTGATCACAGAAACCATTTTTCTTATCAGTCCCAAGATTGATCGCGACAAGTTTCTTCCAGCGAGTAGGAATTCCAGCAGAACTTATGAGGAAAGTAAGCAGAATTGGAAAATTGACTTATTTAGCGTTATATACATATGCCCTTTACTGCCCACTCCTCGAAAACAGAGCCAGATTTCGATCGAAATTCATCAATGACCAAGTTTGGGCTAGAAATTGTTCTCGACGGTTCTTTACCTGTAAACCACAATATCTACACCGTTCAGCGGCGACAGCGCTTGCACTCGCAGCAGCCCTGCGCTACGATGCCCGCGCGCAAAACCGTTTGTGATAGGCGCTGGGCGCCCATCCGCGCAGCTACAAACTCCCTCGACACCACTACCATGGATATCGATTGCTACCGTCAAATACTCTGAAGACGAGTTGCAGAATTGGTGGAATCCAATACTACTGGCGCCTTTTGGCGCCGGCGCTTCTGGTGAGAGCGCCAAGCGCTTTAGCGGTCAACGAATGTGATATTCGTGTTCTTCGATCGGCTTCCTCCCAGAGACAAATCTAGCCAAATCCTCGGCCATGGACAATTTTCGATAAACCCGGCTCAGTTCTCGAGATGTGGCAGTAAAGGCTAAATAGTGCCCATTATTTCAGCGTCTGCTCATAAAATTGCTATTTCACAAGCTTCCAGATAGAAGAGGAAACTGCTGCATCTCCGTCACGTATTCCAATCGGTCGCGCTGGAAATCCTGAGGAAGTGGCCGAAGCTATTTTGTTCCTGGCCGATAGGTACGTCACGCAGAAAGTCCGAATTTTGACCATGGACCATTCCGGGGGAGGGGGCTTAGCGAAGCGACCTTAATAATCTAAAAAGAGGTTTTTTCCATAGTCGGGATTCTGTTCCACAGTTGGTGGAGAACCGCAAAAATTCAGGGAAGCTAGCAAATCACGTAACAAAGGGCACCGCATGCCATGGTTGAAATCAAACTGGACAATTCCGACAGCAGCTATTAAGCACCAGAGGAGCGCAAAAGGCCTCGCGACGTGGGCAAGGCCAATTTTTAACCTGCCTGCAATTCGCCGCTTACCCCTAAACATGCGGGCCGTTAAGCTGAATGAGTTGAGCGGTCACCTTCGTCCAATGTACTCAATCGGCGAACTTTCTCAAGAGACCCTGTTTCGTCTTCGTAACCCAACTGAATATAAACTATGTTTCCCGTTCGCTCATTTACCCATGTCAAAAATTTCCTTGAGTCCACTTTATCTCGTTACCGTAATTTGTAGCCACCCTATGACCTGGTCCATGAACCGGTCCTACCGCTCTTCACTACCAAAGCTGGCGCCTTTTCTTCCTTTGCATACTGATTACGTAAGCGCATGCAGCGCAGAAGCACCACTACAACGGTCATTGCAACCAAACGATATAATTCTATCCTTCAAAACATTGTCGCTGGAATCCTAATATGGCCGCCACGCCCGCTCGCCGTCGTGCAGAGTCGCCCACACTATTGTGAACTAATGTAAGACTCTTCCAAGAACGTGAAATACTTGCGCAAAGTGCCCTCAGAGAAAAATACCCATTCAAATAGCATACTTGAAAATGGTTGCTCTTCCAAAAAGCGTGAAATATCTTGTGAAAATGTCTTTAGAGAGAAAGACTATTCGATAATATGCTCTAAAAATTGTTTCAGGCAAAGATCGAGTTACATTGTTGGCCAACAACTTCTCGTCGATGGTGGATCGTCGTTGCAAATGCCAGTAATCGCCGATGGATTCAAAATCTTCCTCGATGTATTGGGTGGTCTCGCGCCTCCAAAAGCTTGATCCATATTTGGCTACATCCTCAAACCAACAGAGAATATTGCTCGTATGGCTGCAAAAATGCTATTTAGATACCTTGCTTTTTGATCTCAAACTTTGAACATTTTGAAGGCAATTTCATGATTAGTTGGATTACCTCACAAATTGCCAAAATTTAAACGAAAGGTCGGCACTATGGCAAAATAAGGGGGCATTGTGGTGGGCATGCATTGAAATCGCGTGAAATGTGATCTTTTTGTCAATGAAGGGACGAATCCTTAAACGGGAGGAAAGGCCCCAGTGCGTCAACCACTTTCATTCTCCTCGGAATTCCCGTCCCTTCTAAGCTTACTCCTACAGGATGCCCCGTATATTGCGATAGCGCCTGAAGGGTCTTATTAATGGCGCTCTCAGTGCTTTTTTCCCTTTAGTGAGCCATTTGCAACTTCTCCTGTGCTATCGCGGAATGCCTTCAGTCTGCAAGTACGCACCTTTCTTCTGCTTGTTAAGATGCTACTGAAAAGCTATGAACTACTTTGCTTCAGCTATGAATAAATATTTTCGGTGTCCGAAAAATAACATGAAAGTGAACCTGCGGGGAAAAAATAAAAAATTAATCTACATAAAAAAACAAATCGTTAAAATTTTTGACGCTGTAAGGTACCTCGAATGGATCTCGTCGAAAAGATCCGAGCAATCCATCCTTCCGAGTCAGGAGATTGACAACAGATTTGCTTCGGATTAGCCCGATGTCAGACTTTGCGAATCGCGCGATTCGCTAGCGTCCGCGGTCGCGTTGCGGTACCAGCCAATTGAGTGATTCACTGGCCGCGACGCGACCGCAGACGCTAGCGAATCGCGCGATTCGCAAAGG